ACAAATCAAAGACCTGTCACCAGTTTCTCTGCTGGCTGCACTGAAGCAAAGTGAGGTAATTTCCGTGGGTAAGACAAAGATGGTCGCTTCTCCGGTTAAAAATCAACCTAGCTGCCATTGTATCACCACCCACATCCGCCCTGCCACACTGTTGCAGAAATTCTCTTGTGCTTATGTGCTGCCCTCCACTGAAGTTTTCAATTATACTGACGGCAAAAGGAAAAAATTTTGATACGAAATTGCTGTTAGGTCATTAGAGAAAACCAGTTATTTTGGAGATGTAAGTTCAAAAGAACTCGGCAGAAATCGAAATGAGATTCGACTCACATGAGTTGCAATTTCTTGTTGAATCGATTTGGCTGCCTCTCGGTCAGCAGCGATGAGTCTTTTGAGGGCGTATCGTTCGCCGTGTTCAGCCGCCTCGTAGACGAACGCGAAGCCACCTACAATAGTATGGCTGAAAGTACAAAACAACCCATCACAACCAAGTTGTTCGCTACCTTCGGCTATGACCCTATGGATCTGAATGCGATGAGATCCGATGACCACCGTCTGGCCGACGAATTCATTGTCAGATTTGTCAGAGGACGAAACGAGGAAGTTTAATGCACTACGTAGCATTTTTGATCGGCCAGTTCAGCACTGGCTACGATTCCATATTACACATAATCTTCTACGTCTTCAATGACACAAGAAGCAGCGCTAGCATGTAACAGGATGGCGCAAATGCGGAATAAAAACGAGTATAAAACCTATCAAAGTTCAAAGTTGATGTTTCGAACAGTGCATATATCTTACATGCAAAGAATATTGAACCTGAGAATCAAATCAGCACAGCCTTAGGCCCTTGCGATACCCGCCCAATCACCGGCTGGATGTACAAAATCTAAAAACAAACGTTAACGCTGTAACAAGAACTAAATCGTGAACTGCGATACTGACAAAACAAACAAACATTACGGATTTTTTATACAATGTGATCTGAAAAACTTCTACTGACTGTTACTAAATCAGAAGGCAGAATGGAGTTAGCGATATGTCACTCAGAGTGCCTAGCTGCTGGTCATCTAGTGCGTCCATTTAGTTGAAGAGAAAGGAACGACCTCCAATGAAGTAGTAGCAGACAGGCAGCGGTGAGGCTGGGTTCGAGGTCGATAAATTCGATCCTCAAATTAAAAGTCACAATACCTAGTGGCAGTTCCATGTTGAGACGAAAGCGATATGAAGAAAACAGCCGCCATCGTCACTTTCGCCTTGTCGTTAGAGGTCGGTTCTTCAAAGGCTAGGAAAGGATACTTAGATACAAAATAGATCGAAATTTCAGGACCTGTCTGTACGAAA